GGGGGGGGGGGGGCAACTACCAGGTGGTGTGAGGGACTTGCTCCAAAGGTCACATTTCCTGTAAATATGTACTCACTACTCACCTGTTTTCATTTCAGCACATGGTAGCTACAACAAACATTTAAAACTGTTAAAAGTACTTTACCAAACATTTTGGTAGAAGTTTACCTCCATTTTTTTTTTTTCAACTATGATGTTATCATCATGGTTTGATTATGCAAAATCATATTCTATTAAACAAGAGGCTAAGAGGGCCTGTATCGCTCACCTTGATATTTAAGCAATCATGGGAAAATGAAAGTAGGTCAAGGTCATGTATTTGGAGAAACTTTATAGCACAATATCACAGCATGCTACTGGCCAACCATCATCAATTTATGTTTCTTTATTATTAGAAAAAGTCAAAGAAAGGTTTTCATCGTTTGACCCCTGTCACCTTCAATGTTTGTCAAGGTAATTCATTTGAGGAAACTTAAAAGCACTACATCTTAGGTATTTACTGGCCATGCCTTTATCATTATCCCGGGCCTCCTGCTGATTCAAAAGAAGTTGTTCAAATATTTTCATACATATAGTGTATTTTTATATATACAGTGGCCTTGAAAGTATGTCAAGATCATTTAGGTCAAGCTAGGTACCTATTGGCCAAATATCATTACTCTATATGCCCCTTGGTTATTCAAAAGAAGTTGTTGAAATGTTGTTAGCACATTTGACCCTTGTGGTTTTGAAAGTGAGTCAAGGGCATTTATTTGGGTATACTTTATAGCACTCCAGGTACCTTCTGGCAAAGTATCAACACTCTGGGCCTCCTGGATGTTCAGAAGAAGTTCTTTAAAGATTTTTACATATTTATAAACCCTGTGACCTTAAAAGTATAGGCAAAGTCATTTATTTGAGGAAAATTTATAGCACTTTATCCCAAGTACCTACTGGCCAAATAGCATGACCCTAGGCCCTCAAGTTCATCAGAAGAAGTTGTTTGAAGAAAAAGTTGACAGACTATAGATGACAGACAAAACACCCTACCATAAGCTTAATGGAACTTCGTGCCTGGTGAGCTAACAATGGGTCAACAATAACATTTCTTTTTAATTTTTACCAATTAAAGATTTGTTCTTAAAGCATTTAACACCAAGAACTATTACATATTAAGTTTTCCGATTGAAAACTGTTCAGATATTTCTGTCATACTGTAGGAGAAATCGCGGAAAAATCATGTCACGACATAAATATCAAATAATGACGGAGATTCCTAAACGGTCTTGAACTGAACTCTGATGTCTATGTACAATATAACTGTAACCATGGAAAAACACAACAAGAGGCCCAAGAGGGCCTGATTCGCTCACCTGAATATTAAAGCAGTCATAGCAAAATATTCTCATTAAATATCAAATTGCACTAAAAATATTTCCCTCGCGAACTTTGTTGGCTCCATCTGTTGAAACTATCAGCAAAATATTATTATAAGATTCTATGCTTTTTGATTCTTCTTCAGAAGTTGCTTGACATATTGTTTCCTGTGACCTAGTACGTAGGTCAATGTCATTTTCCTTCTCAAATTGGTTAGCTCTATTCCAAAAAGCTACCAGCCAAATCTTATAAATCCATTTCTTTTAGTTCTTAAGAACAAATCCTTTAAAATATTGTTGACCTCTGTGACCTCTAAAGTAGGTTGAGGTCATTTTCATTCGCAAACTTTGGCGAGCTCTATCCCAGGAAGTCACCAGCCAAATATTAAAATTTTATGCCTTTTAATTCTTAAGAAGAAGTAGTTTGAACTGTTTGACATATTTGAACGCTGTGACCTTGAAAGAAAGTTAATGTCATTTTCATTCGCACACTTTTTTTGGCTCTTTCCCAGGAAATAACCAGCCAAATATTAAGGTTCTATACCTTCCAGTTCTTCAGAAGAAGTCGTTTGAAGTATTTCACATATCTGCCTCATGTGACCTTAAAAGTAGGTCAAGGTCATTTTCATTCTCAAATTTTGTTACGGTCTTTCCCAGGAAGGTACAAGCCAAATATTTAGGTTCTATAACTTTCAGTTCTTCAGAAGAAGTCGTTTGAAGCATTTGACATATTTGACACCTGTGACCTTGCAAGTAGGTCAAACTAATTTTCATTCTCAACCTTTGTTGGGCTCTATCCCAGGAAGCCACAAGCCAAATATAAAGTTTCTATACCTTTTAATTCTTCAGAAGAAGTCGTTTGAAGTTTTTGACATATTTGACCCCTGTGACCTTGAAAGTAGGTCAAGGTCATTTTAGTTCTCAAACTTTGTCGAGCTCCTACCAACAAAGCTTTCAGCCAAATATCATGACTCTAGGCCTGTCCGTTCTTCAGAAGAAGTTGTTTAAAGGAAAAGTTGACAGATGAGGACAGACGGACGGACGGACGCCGCACCATGACATAAGCTCACTTGCCCTCCGGGCAGGTGAGCTAATGATAACACATTTACACCAACATTTAGAACCCAAACTTTCTAGAAAGATAAATTACTATTTTCTTTGTTTCTTTTTGGTCTTATCGTAAATATAAGGAATAAAATGCAATGCAATGATATGCAACCTAGTCACTTAACAAATTATCCAGGCATCATGGGATATGTTTGTAAACAGCTTCAGAAATGTGGCCACCAAATCATTGTATACGCATTACATTGATTGAAGGATACTCACACTCTACTACAGCAATATTATACTCAAGCTGGTAAGCAACAGACAGTTTTCTTTGTACTAAAGGCGATATCCTTTTAAAATATATACAATTTCCCCAATTTTGCTCCCCCCTCCTGCCAGGGAGGCCATTTCCTTTTCTAAAAAAACATAACATTTCTTCTTGCCCGAGAATGCACCTGAATAATATTCAAATACCTTATTCAACCTATAATTCCCCCCATTTCCCATATTGGGCTCGCCTCATCGTTATAAACAATATCACATCCTTCGTGTTGTGAACTTTTTCACTTTGCCTTGGTGATGGTCCATACCAAATCTTTATTAAAGAAAAGTCTATTTCTCCCCATTTCCCACATTTTTTAAGATTGCTTCATGGCAAATAATATTAAAAATTCCTGCACTCAAACTGAAGGAATTTTTTATTAAAAGATTTACCAGTATTTCTTCTATTGGACCCCAACGCTAAGCTTGTATAATTAATAAGTGTACACCTCCAATACCCAAGGGAGACCCCATACCAAATTTAGCCAAACTCCATTCAGGGGACTAGTAGCCTTTATAAATGAAAAGTTGATGACAGTTGAACAGTAAACGGACACCACGCTTACTTAGGGTAACTTACAGACACCACGCTTACTTAGGGTAACTTACAGACACCACACTTACTTAGGGTAACTTACAGACACCACACTTACTTAGGGTAACTTACAGACACCACGCTTACTTAGGGTAACTTACAGACACCACGCTTACTTAGGGTAACTTACAGACACCACGCTTACTTAGGGTAACTTACGGACACCACGCTTACTTAGGGTAACTTACGGACACCACGCTTACTTAGGGTAACTTACGACACCACGCTTACTTAGGGTAACTTACAGACACCACGCTTACTTAGGGTAACTTACAGACACCACGCTTACTTAGGGTAACTTACAGACACCACGCTTACTTAGGGTAACTTACAGACACCACGCTTACTTAGGGTAACTTACAGACACCACGCTTACTTAGGGTAACTTACAGACACCACGCTTACTTAGGGTAACTTACAGACACCACGCTTACTTAGGGTAACTTACAGACACCACGCTTACTTAGGGTAACTTACAGACACCACGCTTACTTAGGGTAACTTACAGACACCACGCTTACTTAGGGTAACTTACAGACACCACGCTTACTTAGGGTAACTTACAGACACCACGCTTACTTAGGGTAACTTACAGACACCACGCTTACTTAGGGTAACTTACAGACACCACGCTTACTTAGGGTAACTTACAGACACCACGCTTACTTAGGGTAACTTACAGACACCACGCTTACTTAGGGTAACTTACAGACACCACGCTTACTTAGGGTAACTTACAGACACCACGCTTACTTAGGGTAACTTACAGACACCACGCTTACTTAGGGTAACTTACAGACACCACGCTTACTTAGGGTAACTTACAGACACCACGCTTACTTAGGGTAACTTACAGACACCACGCTTACTTAGGGTAACTTACAGACACCACGCTTACTTAGGGTAACTTACAGACACCACGCTTACTTAGGGTAACTTACAGACACCACGCTTACTTAGGGTAACTTACAGACACCACGCTTACTTAGGGTAACTTACAGACACCACGCTTACTTAGGGTAACTTACAGACACCACGCTTACTTAGGGTAACTTACAGACACCACGCTTACTTAGGGTAACTTACAGACACCACGCTTACTTAGGGTAACTTACAGACACCACGCTTACTTAGGGTAACTTACAGACACCACGCTTACTTAGGGTAACTTACAGACACCACGCTTACTTAGGGTAACTTACAGACACCATGCTTACTTAGGGTAATTTACAGACACCACGCTTACTTAGGGTAACTTTCATACACCACGCTTACTCAGGGTAACTTACATACACCACGCTTACTTTGGGTACCTTACAGACACCACACTTACTCTATGGTAACGTAGGGTATTATGTAACTACTTAACCCTGTCACCCCTACGTAGCTTTAGTAGACTCTACATTGTATTGATTTGGAGGGGTCCATTATGGTCTACAGTGGTGAAAGGGTTAAATACCTCTGGACGGATGAGGACGAGTTTCCTGGTCAGCTCGGGGGACATCTGTGTACATAACACCCTGTTGTCAAAATACAAACAGTACAATTGCTATATAATATACACATAGAATATAAATACACCTTACTGATTTCTGGCTTAAAGCTACTTCCCTTTGAAAAGTGTTCATTGTTCATTTTGATACTCTGTATTTACGATTCCTGGATAGCTAATGAGCATCACTGGTATAGTTTATGACCAGTGTTAAATTGACAGATTCCTAGAATATTTTTTTTTTCTTTTTTTTTCTGAAGACTCAAATTTCTAACTAATGTAATTCTATAATTAAAATACATTGCAAGATGGGTTTAAAAACATCTAACAGAAATCAGTACTAGACTTACCCTGCGTTAATAACCAGGGGGCCAACATATAATTTCTGAGTTAGGATAAGTAGATGTGCCTATGAAATTACATTGATTTTTTTTTTTTATTGAACTGAAGAAAATACAAGAAGATACGAGTGGGCTTATTACCAGACATGGGCTGTTTACTGGATGAATAGGGTACAATACAAATTTCAAAATAGTACCAATTGTAAAGAAATATTCCAACGTGATGGTACTCTACCTGGACAGTTGTACCCTTTCTAGGATGTATCTAATGCAATATTCCAACGTGATGGTACTCTACCTGGACAGTTGTACCCTTTCTAGGATGTATCTAATGCAATATTCCAACGTGATGGTACTCTACCTCGACAGTTGTACCCTTTCTAGGATGTATCTAATGCAATATTCCAACGTGATGGTACTCTACCTCGACAGTTGTACCCTTTCTAGGATGTATCTAATGCAATATTCCAACGTGATGGTACTCTACCTCGACAGTTGTACCCTTTCTAGGATGTATCTAATGCAATATTCCAACGTGATGGTACTCTACCTCGACAGTTGTACCCTTTCTAGGATGTATCTAATGCAATATTCCAACGTGATGGTACTCTACCTCGACAGTTGTACCCTTTCTAGGATGTATCTAATGCAATATTCCAACGTGATGGTACTCTACCTCGACAGTTGTACCCTTTCTAGGATGTATCTAATGCAATATTCCAACGTGATGGTACTCTACCTCGACAGTTGTACCCTTTCTAGGATGTATCTAATGCAATATTCCAACGTGATGGTACTCTACCTCGACAGTTGTACCCTTTCTAGGATGTATCTAATGCAATATTCCAACGTGATGGTACTCTACCTGGACAGTTGTACCCTTTCTAGGATGTATCTAATGCAATATTCCAACGTGATGGTACTCTACCTGGAGAGTTGTACCCTTTCTAGGATGTATCTAATACAATATTCCAACGTGATGGTACTCTACCTTGATAGTTGTACCCTTTTCTAGGATGTATCTAACCCAAAAGAACATTACACATAAGTGATTATAGATGTGACCTTAGTTACAGGACGTGTATGACCTTTGCCAACTCTCCCCTTGACCTGGAAGTCATCCTCTTGTTGGACCTTTCAACTCTGTAATCCTCTCCTTGTATTACCTTTACCTTTTATCAACCAATGTATTCATTCCTTTTATGACCCTTGACCTTTGCCTGTAATGCATGACCCCTTTGGTATTCCTGACTTCTATCTGTGACCTAAATCTGTTTGTACCGAATGACCCCCTTCTATGAAATTTTAAAAGAAAACTGCTAACTTTTGAGTCTTGACCTAGTGTGACCCCTGACCTTACCTTTGTTTGTATAGAATGGCACCTAGTGTGACCCCTGACCTTACCTTTGTTTGTATAGAATGGCACCTAGTGTTACCCCCGACCTTACCTTTGTTTGTATAGAATGGCGCCTAGTGTGACCCCCGACCTTACCTTTGTTTGTATAGAATGGCACCTAGTGTGACCCTGGCCTTACCTTTGTTTGTATAGAATGACACCTAGTGTGACCCCCGACCTTACCTTTGTTTGTAAAGAATGGCACCTAGTGTGACCCCTGACCTTACCTTTGTTTGTATATAATGGCATCTAGTGTGACCACCTGACCTTACCTTTGTTTGTATAGAATGGCACCTAGTGTGACCCCTGACCTTACCTTTAATTTTGTTTGTATATAATGGCACCTAGTGTGACCCCTGACCTTACCTTTGTTTGTATAGAATGGCACCTAGTGTGACCCCTGACCTTACCTTTGTTTGTATAGAATGGCACCTAGTGTGACCCCTGACCTTACCTTTGTTTGTATAGAATGACACCTAGTGTGACCCCTGACCTTACCTTTGTTTGTATAGAATGACACCTAGTGTGACCCCTGACCTTACCTTTGTTTGTATAGAATGACACCTAGTGTGACCCCTGACCTTACCTTTGTTTGTATAGAATGACACCTAGTGTGACCCCCGGCCTTCGCTGGCTGGATTGTAGGATGTTCGAGGCTTGAAGAAATAAGTCACTGTTCACCTAAACAACAAACATTCAGATTATTATTCGAAAGGATTTAAAGCATATCATGTCTACATTAACAAATATATCTCCAAAAATGAAGAGCTCGTTGTTGTTTTGGATCAGGCATACCTTAGTTGCTCATCAGTTGAGGAGGAAAATCCATGATGACTTCCATTTTGTTTTTCTTACCCATCTCAAAATGAAGCATGCACAAGAAGGTACAACAAATTTTGCATGTGAAGTTTTGTCATGTTCCCTAAAGTTTGTAGTTTTAAAGAAATTGTGATAACAAACTTCACATGCAAAATCCTTGCTGGCTGCCCTGCCATTTTGTTTTACTTACCCATCGCCAATTTTAGCATGCACAGGAACAGAACAAACACAGGAAATTTCATCAAAGTCATAGAAGTTTCTGAGAAACAGCAGTAACAAAACAAGAGGCCCAGAGGGCCTGCATTGCTCACCTGAATATTTAAGCAATCATAGCAAATTATTCTCATTAAATATCATACTGTACTACAAATATTTCACTCACAAACTTTGTGTCATCTCCATCTGTTGAAACTACCAGCCAAATATTATTATATCATTCTATGCTTTTTGGTTCTTCTTCAGAAGTTGTTTGAAGTGTTTGACATATTTTTCCCTGTGACCTTGTAAGTAGGTCAAGGCCATTTTCCTTCTCAAACTCAAATTTTCATTCTCAAACTTAAACTTGGCTCTATCCCAAGAAGCTACCAGCCAAATATTATGAATCCATTCCTGTTTGTTCTTCCGAACAAATCGTTTAAAATGTAAATGACCTCTTTGACCTTTAAAGTAGGTTGCAGTCATTTTCATTTGCAAACTTTGGTGAGCTCTTTCCCAAGAAGCCAACAGCCAAATATTATGATTCTATGCCTTTCGATTATTCATCAGAAAGCATTTGATATTTTTGACATATTTGACCTCTGCAACCCCGAAAGTAGGTCAAAGTCATTTTCATTCGCAAACTTTGTCGTGCTCAATCTAAAGAAGTAACCAGCCAAATATTAAGATTCTATACCTTTCAGTTCTTCAGAAGAAGTTGCTTGAAGGGTTTGACATATTTGATCCCTGTGACCTTTAAAGTGGGTCAAGGTCATTTTTGTTCTCAAACTTTTTTGGGCTCTATCCCAGGAAGCCATCAGCCAAATATAAAGACTCTACACCCTTTAGTTCTTCAAACGAAGTCGTTTGAAGCATTTGACATATTTGATCCCTGTGACCTTTAAAGTAGGTGAAGGTCGTATTCATTCTCAAACTTTGTCGAGCTCTGTCCCAGAAAGCTACCAGCCAAATATGAAGATTCTATACCTTTCAGTTCTTCAGAAGTTGTTTGAAGTGTTTGACACATTTGACTGCTGTGACTTTGAAAGAAGGTGAAGGTGATTTTCGTTATCAAACTTTGTCGGGCTCTATCCCAAGAAGCCACCAGCCAAACATGACGATTCTATACCTTTCAGTTCTTCAGGAGAAGTCGTTTGAAGAGTTTGACACATTTGACCACTGTGACCTTGAAAGAAGGTCAAGGTCATTTTCGTTCTCAAACTTTGTTGGGCTCCTACCAATTGATGAAGCTTTCAGCCAAATATCATGACTCTAGGCCTGTTTGTTCTTCAGAAGAAATTGTTAAAAGGTAAAGTTGACGAATTAATTTCATCACCCCATGATCTGATGATTGTAGTCTAAATATCAAAAGTATTCTATCTTTAATATTTTATATTAAGGAAAAATCCTACCTCAACGGAAGGAAGGACCTGGAACACTCTTTCTATGTGGTTGACGCTGAGGCAGCTAGCAGGGGGGAACAGCATTTCCCATAATGCCTTCATTTCGGCCAGAAATCCAAGATTGGTGTGGTATTGCTGGAACAATACAGAACACAACAGCTGTACAGTGAGGTAGTGGTGGCTGACTGATGTACAGTGAGGTAGTGGTGGCTGACTGATGTACAGTGAGGTAGTGGTGGCTGACTGATGTACAGTGAGGTAGTGGTGGCTGACTGATGTACAGTGAGGTAGTGGTGGCTGACTGATGTACAGTGAGGTAGTGGTGGCTGACTGATGTACAGTGAGGTAGTGGTGGCTGACTGATGTACAGTGAGGTAGTGGTGGCTGACTGATGTACAGTGAGGTAGTGGTGGCTGACTGATGTACAGTGAGGTAGTGGTGGCTGACTGATGTACAGTGAGGTAGTGGTGGCTGACTGATGTACAGTGAGGTAGTGGTGGCTGACTGATGTACAGTGAGGTAGTGGTGGCTGACTGATGTACAGTGAGGTAGTGGTGGCTGACTGATGTACAGTGAGGTAGTGGTGGCTGACTGATGTACAGTGAGGTAGTGGTGGCTGACTGATGTACAGTGAGGTAGTGGTGGCTGACTGATGT